CTGATTTTACCCGCGGTATACCGTATGCTAAATTTTAAATAATAAAATGAGGATTTAATATGTGTTATAGCGATGTATTAGTGATATTTTAAATTTATATTAATATCAATCCTAACCAAACCCGTGTCATTCAATTCGTCCCGTAATATTTAAAACTATTTTATAAAAACTCAAAAACCATAGCTAAATGGGCAAACAAAAGCCAAAAAATTTAAATATATCAATTAGAAATTTTTGAATTTAATTAGAAAAGATTGCTCCATAATTTTAAATCTTACGTATTTAATGTATTTATGAAGATTTGATATTTGAATTTATTTGAGAACATTACTTATTTTTAGCAATTTCAGAAAAAGACATGGCACTACAAGAAAACAGTCGATTACCGACTACAGCTTCCGACTATTAATGTAGTCGCCAATTTTACCGACTATTATGTCACTATTTTACGACTATTTAACGACTAAAGAAAAGTAGTCGTAAGTTAGTCGCCAAAGAGCGACGAAAACAGGTTGTCAGTAATGTAGTCGCTATTTGGCGACTATTTACCGACTAATAAGTAGAATATATATTATAGTCGTATATTAGTCGCTAATTTAGCGACTATTTTCCGACAGTATATATTAGTCGCTAGTTTGGCGACTACATTACGACTCTTTCGGCGAGTCGTAAATTAGTCGCCAATTTGTCGTATTTTACAGTTAAGAAACACGTTTTTTTGTTTGTGGTAGGTGTACCGGTTTTTTGGCGACTACAACTTTTAGTCGCCAATTAGTCGCCCAAAAGTTGTCTATATAAAAGAAAACAGCACTCACTCTCTTCACTCATCTCCTCTCTCTTCCTTCACATAAGAAAAAAAAACGAATTCGAAAAAAAAAAACGAATTTGGAATAAACACTTTTCAAAAAATTAGTTTCTTTATATTTTATTGGTAATGACGGGAAATTACAATTATGGCGGTAATGGTGGTTATCGGGAGTGGATGTACAAGCGGTTCGACGAAGTGACGGGAAATTTGTCAGCAGAGTACGTAGCCGGTGTGGAGGAATTCATGACGTTTGCTAATAGCCAGCCTATAGTACAGAGTAACCGCGGTAAATTTCACTGTCCTTGTAGTGTGTGCAAGAATGAAAAACATATGGTCTCGGGTAGAAGAGTTAGTAGTCATTTGTTTAGTCAAGGATTTATGCCAGATTATTATGTTTGGTATAGACATGGGGAAGAACTCAATATGGATATAGGAACGAGTCACACTGATAGGACATATCAAAGTGAGAATCATGAAGAGGTGGGTTATGTTGTAGAAGATCCTTATGTGGATATGGTGAACGATGCATTTCGTTATAACGTGGGGTTTGATGATAACTATGATCAGGATGGTAGTTATCAGAATGTCGAAGAACCAGTACGTAACCATTCAAATAAATTTTACGACTTGTTAGAAGGTGCACAAAACCCATTATACGATGGTTGTCGTGAAGGTCAATCGCAGTTATCGTTAGCTGCTCGACTCATGCATAATAAGGCAGAGTATAATATGAGTGAAAAGTTAGTGGATTCGGTTTGCCAAATGTTTACAGATTTTTTACCAGAAGGAAACCAGGCAACCGGTTCGCATTACCAGACCGAAAAATTGATGCGCAATTTAGGTCTTCCATATCATACAATTGATGTTTGTATGAACAATTGTATGCTTTTCTGGAAAGAAACTGAAAAAGAAGATCAATGTCGGTTTTGTGGTGCACAAAGATGGAAGCCTAAGGATGATCGTTGTAGAACCAAAGTACCATATAGTCGAATGTGGTATCTACCTATTGGTGACCGATTGAAGAGAATGTATCAGAGCCACAAGACAGCAGCGGCAATGCGATGGCATTCCGAGCACCAATCAAAGGAAGGAGAAATGAATCATCCTTCAGATGCGGCAGAGTGGAGATATTTCCAAGAGCAAAATCCCAAGTTTGCGGAAGAACCCCGAAATGTATATCTTGGCTTATGTACAGATGGGTTCAATCCATTTGGCATGTCTCGTAATCATTCGTTGTGGCCTGTGATCCTGACTCCATATAATTTATCCCCAGGTATGTGCATGAATACAGAGTACTTGTTTCTCACAATTCTGAACTCTGGGCCAAATCACCCGCGAGGTAGTCTCGATGTCTTCCTCCAACCTCTTATTGAGGAGCTAAAAGAGTTGTGGTCTACTGGAGTTGATGCATTTGATGTGTCATTGAATCAAAATTTTAATCTAAAAGCAGTGCTGATGTGGACGATAAGCGATTTTCCGGCGTATAGCATGTTATCAGGATGGACCACCCACGGTAAATTGTCTTGTCCAATTTGCATGGAAAGTACAAAGTCATTTTATCTACCTAATGGAAGGAAGACATGTTGGTTTGATTGTCACCGAAGATTTCTTCCTCATGGTCATCCATTACGGAAAAACAAAAAAGACTTCCTTAAAGGAAGAGACGCTTCTAAAGAGTATCCACCTGAATCTTTGACCGGTGAGCAAGTTTATTATGAGCGGTTGGATGGCGTAAATCCACCAAAAACCAAGGACGTTGGTGGCAACGGTCATGAAAAAAAGATGCCAGGCTATGGGAAGGAACATAACTGGCACAAGGAAAGCATATTATGGGAGCTGCTTTACTGGAAAGATCTCAATCTGCGACACAATATTGATGTGATGCATACAGAGAAGAATTTTCTGGACAACATCATGAATACTCTTATGAGTGTGAAAGGTAAATCAAAAGACAACATCATGTCAAGATTGGATATTGAAAAATTTTGTTCTCGGCCAGCCTTACATATTGATAGTAAGGGTAAAGCTCCATTCCCAGCATATATATTGACAGATCAAGCCAAAGCGAGTTTATTGGAATGTGTGAAACATTCGGTTAAATTCCCAGATGGTTATTCCTCAGATTTGGCTACTTGTGTAGATATGGAGAATGGTAAGTTTTCAGGCATGAAGAGTCATGATTGCCATGTTTTTATGGAGCGACTACTTCCATTTATCTTTGCAGAACTCCTTGACCAGAACATACACCTTGCGTTATCAGGTACTACTAATTACTTATTATTTGCGACACTTAACAATATATTATTCTAGTATTTTATCTAACAATTTTAAATGATGATGTAATTTGAATATATATTTCAGGGATTGGAGCATTTTTCCGGGACTTATGTTCGAGGACTTTACAGAAAAGTCGTGTTCAAATTCTAAAACAGAATATTATTTTAATCTTATGCAACTTGGAAAAGATCTTTCCACCATCATTTTTCGATGTGATGGAGCACCTGCCTATACATCTCCCTTACGAAGCTGAATTAGGCGGCCCGGTCCAATATAGATGGATGTATCCTTTTGAGAGATTTTTCAAAAAGTTGAAAGGAAAAGCAAAGAACAAAAGATATGCTGCAGGATCAATTGTTGAATCATATATCAATGACGAGATTGCTTATTTTTCAGAGCACTACTTTGCAGAACATATACAAACAAAATCAAGGTAAATGTGTATATATATATATATATATGTTTATATTTGGCATGTACTTCTAACATATTAACTCGTTAATTTGGATCAGGTTAACAAGATTCGATGAAGGTAAAGTTCCTGTATATCATGTTCCTGGGGTACCTAACATATTTACGCAAGTCGGCCGTCCAAGTGGAGAAATGCGTGAAGTATGGCTTTCAGAGAAAGACTACCAAAGCGCACATGCATATGTTTTACGAAATTGTGCATATTTTCAACCAATTGAGAGGTATAAAACATATCTTCCAAAAATCACTCTTTAATTTACAATATCCACTATGATTATTCATATATTTTTTGTGTTTGTATAGTATGTTCGAGGATTTTCTTTCTGCAAAATATCCGGAATTGACCGAGAAAGAACTATACACAAAAAGAGCTGAAGAATATCAATTATGGGTTAAAGATTATGTATGTCAACATATTTTTTTTAATTGGGTTAAGTGATGATCATTTATTTCAATTTCTAATTATATATATTGATGTGTGTTTATATATAGGTTACATATTGGAACGATACTTCTCCATTTCCTACTTGGGTTCAAGAGATTGTACATGGACCTTTGAACAAGGTTAAAACTTGGCCAATGTATTTTACAAGAGGCTATTTGTTTCATACGCAGAATCACGGAGCTGGACGAAAGACATGTAACTATGGGGTAAGTGTTAAAGGTGAAAATTACGCGGATGCATCTGATTCAGCGGATTTCCACGGGAACTTAATTGATATCATAGAACTCCAGTATGAGGGCATGGTCAATTTGAGGATCACACTTTTTAAGTGTAATTGGTATGACCCTGTTATCGGTAGAGGCACTCGGCGGAGCCAAAGTGGCGTTGTAGACGTTCTATCAACGAGAAAATACAATAAATACGAGCCATTTGTTCTAGGTACGTATACTTGTATATTAAAATTCTATATATTTAAAACATATATATTCCGTATATATATTTATACATGAATAACTTTTGTATACAGCTTCTCAAGCAGATCAAGTTTGTTATATTCCTTATCCATATACGAAGAAACCAAAGAGCATTTGGCTCAATGTTCTAAAAGTGAATCCGAGGGGAAACATTTCAGGAGAATATGAAACCAATGACGATCCAACTCTTTTGCAAACAGAAAATGATGATGGTGTTTTGCTGACTACAATTGAAGATATTGTACTTGACAATCGAGTTGAAGATTTTGACCCAATAATCCTCGATTACGATGTTGGTGATGCTGAACCAGAAGATGAATTCCAGTGTAATTTATCGTCTTCTGACGATGACGAAACATGATCTGAAGAGCGCTACTAAATCCATAACTATTTTATATTTATTTATGTAATTGATGTTTAATTATTAAAATTATAAATAAAACATGTTTAATTATTATTTTACTGAATCCCATTATGTTTAATTAGTTAAATTATGTTAATTATGAAAAAATTAAGTAGTGATTTTTTACCGACTAAAACGCGACTAATATTGGGCTAACAAATTAGGAGGCCCAAACCCAATTCCAGTGTAGCGACTAAAAAGCGACTACTCAAAATATTTGGGCCTTTTACGAGGCCAAAGCCCACTAACACTTGGTAAAAATGAAGGAGGAAACCCTAGTTCTTCATTCTTCTCGATCTTTCTTCTTCGTTTTCTCCGCGTTCTCTCTACCTTCGATCTCTCATCTCCGATTCTTCTACCTTCGATCTCTCATCTTTGTTATTCTTCGCCTTTTAATTCGATCTCCAATCTCTCTGCTTCATTCCTTTTTTGATTCTGTAAACCCTAGTTCTTCGATCTCCAATCTCTTTCTTCTGTAAACCCTAGTTTGATTCTGTAAACTCTGTCTTTTGATTCTACGATGCCTAACGCCGGTGGAGGACGAGGACGAAAGCGAAAAACAATCCCTAACGTGTCTCAGCGAGCCGGTGGGTCAGCGCCTTCCAAACGACCAAGCACGCTACCTCAACAGTACAACTTCACGCCGGCGGCGGTTCAAGTTCCTCCGACGCAGTCGCCTGAAGCACCTCAGGCCAATTTGCAAGGCCAGCCGACGACAGCTCCCCACTTCCGCAACTATCCGCCGCCGGTTCAACTTTTCCAGAACTCCACCAATCAACAACGTGAAGTAGATCCACCGGCTCGATCTGAAGAAGTCCAGTTTAATCCACCTACACAACCCAATCTTCAGGAGGAAGATCCAAATTCTCCAAATCAGAACTTTCAGGCTCACAGCCATCCGTCTTCTCAAGGCAACAACTTCCAAGAAGAATATCCTCCAGTGTTGCCAGAGCTCCAGGAGGACTCGCTGCGTTCTCTCAATGCGTTGCTTGCGGTGCCAGATAGGGAACTCGTCACCACTGTCCTGTCTTTCAAACCCCGACCAAATACGAAATGGTATGAAACAAACTCTGTTGTGACGAGTAGAAAATTGTGGATTTGTTGTTTTAGACAACTGTAGAATTGTGGATTTGTTTGTTATGTTCTCTGAATGGTAATGAGTAGTAGAAGATTCTAAATTCTGTGAATGTGTTTGGTAATGAGTGATGTTTAATGTGAACTTGTTTTTTCATACTTGTGTAGAATTCCGTCAATGTCTCTGATGGGTAATGAGTAGTTATCTGATGGTTTAAGAGTTGTGTGATGACTAATGTGACTGTTTTATGCTTAGTTCTGTGATGGTTTATGATTTTTGTGAATGTGACTGTTTTAACCATAGTTCTCCGATTATTTGCTTAAGTTTAGGTTTCTGATATTCTGTTTTGGTGAGACTATGTGGCAACACTCTCTGGTTTCCTTTGTTTTATCTCCTTATTTCTATTTGTAACCTTTTTTAATTTTTCTGATGTTGAGTTTTGATAACTTCTTTTCTTCTTTGATTGTTTCATGTGTTTGGAGGTTTACTCGCGACAAGAAATCGAGACTGGTTCGGAAGATTACTAAAATTTTTACAAACAAATTCGATGGTCCTTTCTATAGCTGGTCATGTGTGCCTCGGGATAGACAAGAAAGATACTTTCTCGAGTTTGCGGTACAGTGTTCTGTCTTATATCCATGACTATGTAGAATTTTTTGTGTTTTTTTCACTCACATTATCTCTGTTTTTTTGTAGAAAACACACACCTGGGATCCATTAATCACAGGGACTGTGCAATATCACTTCGAGGAGATCATCGCACGCCGCATGAAAGACATGGTTAGCGGCGTAAGGACTTCTCGAGTTCAACCTACGTGGATTGGCAAAACTATCTGGGAAACAATGTGCGCTTACTGGGACACAGAAGAAGCTCAGGAAAGGAGTAAGACCTATTCCAATGCTCGTATGTCTGACCGCAACGGTCTCGGTCCTCACATCCACTTCTCAGGGCCTAAGTCTTATCAAGAAATCCAAGACGATATGGTAAGTTTAATTCTGTTACTTCTTGTTATTAAACTTTGTAACTATGAATTCAGACATCTGTTTTGGAGATGTTAATATCTGTTTATTTGGTTACATTGCAGGAAGAGGAATTGGGAAGACCGGTAAGTCTTGGTGAAGTTTTCATCAAGACACATACAAGGCCGGATGGTACATATGTTGATCGGAAAGCGGAGAAGATTGCAAAAACTTATGAGCAGAATGTGCTTGATAGGTTGAATGAGCTAGAGGCAGGTACTTCTGCAGTTTCTGATGGCACTTCACGAGCTCGGGAGCTCACAACAGAGGAGAAAACCACCATCTTTCTTCAGGTTCATTTTCCCAAAACACATTCATATAGTCTTGCAGTTTAAGTTGTTATTCTCTAATATTTGCCTTTATGTTTCTTTTCACAGTCCACTGAGAGAGATGCAAGGGGAAATCCGTATGGAATCGGAAGTCTGAAGAACACTCTTGTCAGTGGCAATCGCAAGTACCCTGGAGACTCATCATCCTTTCAAGCTCTGGAAGAACAGCTAAAGGATGCTCACCGCAAAATAGAAGAGCAGGTTGCATATAATGAAAGGCGAGAGTCTGAGGTTGCTTCCTGTGAAGCTGAGCAAGCTCGAGTCGCGGCTGAGCAAAAGGACAAGCTCGAGCACTTGTCCTTGGTGGAGAAGTATCTACGTCAAACTGATCCTCAATTCCTCCACTTCATGGCCACTCATTCTTCTTCAGCTGGTACCACAGAGCCAATTCCCCAACAAGATCCATAGGTTGCTCTATTTCCCAACTCTATTCCTTTTCCCTTGAACATTGACGTGAACATTATGTGTGATCTGTAACTGTTGTAGTTTGCTATGTTTAAATGGTTTGAACACGAACTTAATGTGTATTTCCCTTGTAACTGTTGTTATTATGATTAAGGTTATTATTGCTTTCCTTAAAAGTTAATTTTGATATTTAAAAATAGATATAGAATGACAATCAGAACCGTAACAAATTATAATTCAGGTCTTACCAAACTTTTGTTCTATCAACCTACATAGTCGCCTAATAGTCGTAAAAATAGTAGTCTAATAGTCGCATATTAGACACAAAATTTAACGACTACGTAGTCACTAATAAACGTAGTCGTATTATTAGTCGCCAAATTGTCGTAACATAGTCACTAAAACTTTACGACTAAGTTACGACTACACTTAGGAGACCAACTATACATGCGGTTTAATCGTAGCATAGTCGTAAGTTAGTCGTATTATAGTTACGACTATGTTACGACTAATATGGCGACTCATCATATATAGTCGTAATTTAGTCGCAAAATAACGACTAATTTAACGACTAAAAAGTTTAGCGACTACGGATTTACGACTATATATATTTGTCGTATGATAGTCGTCTTTGCATGTTTAACGACTATTTTACGACTAATGTTGTAGTCGTTAATGGGCTGATTTCTTGTAGTGTGGGTTAAAGCTTGAACTGATCCGATAATTAAGGTCTGAATTAATAGTTTTGCACCGGCCTTGTTATTTTATTTGTATTTTCTAATTATTTTATCACTATTCAAACCTTAATGATCCATGTAATTAACACTAACCTATTATTGTTTAATAATCACAAATATTAAAAATAATATGTTTAGAACTGCCATGAAAAAAAATTTAAGTATGCAACTTTCATTAGTTCACATAATTAAAAAATAAACACATAGAGTATTAGAACCCAATAACAAAGAATCATGTCTACCAATTTTGTAAAGACCTACAGAGCCCAATTTGTTTTTATTCAACTCTTTGATCATATACCCAAAATGAAAAACTTAGAAACGGAAAGTTCAAACTCAATCATCGGTGGTTTAGCAGATGAAGTCACCGTCGTTAACGGTCACAGTAACGGCTCCGTCGATCTGAGCCTTGTTTCTTCAAAGCTGCAGCAAAACGCATGGATCTACTCTCCGTGTAGCGTATCAAGGAGTTCCCGGCGTGTATTTTGAAGCTACCACCGGAAGAGCATATCCGAAATCTGAAGATATTCGGTGTGATCAATTCGATGTTGCGTTTCAGGCGGTGGAGCTTTGGGTCGCCGATCGTCTTGTTTTGCCAATCGAAACCTAAAGAATTACGATCTCCTCCTCGTCACCATCTTCACATCGTCGGCGAGGTTTAGATCCCGGTTCACCACTGTCTCCTAGCTCTTCCCGGAGTCCGTACAGATTGAATCACATATGCGATTTCTCATTTTCTGTAAAACTGGTGAGTTTTTATTAGACTAATGAAAGGTATTTATAATGTTTTGAGAATAATATAGGGTTTTGGGTGAGTGAGTTCCTAAAATCTTGCTGATCAAGTACACAATATCTTCAAAAAATTTTATTATTGGAATTGAGTAATTTTCTTGCAAATCTCGAAAAAAAAAAGAAATATAGGAAAGATAATTATGAGTAATTAGTTGGGATGACAGCCAATGGTAGAGATTTTAGAAGGAAAGCGAGAGATTTTTGGCAACAATTTTTGAACGTAACATCTTTGATTTGGGAGAGATTTTTGGAATATGCTTATACCGAAATATATGTGTAATTATCTACATTAATGACGGGTTTTTTTAGATTTCCTTAAATGTCTTATCCAAGATCCGGATATAGTAAAACCGAGTAAAACCCGGATCTAAATTATTAAAAACAAAAACCCCCTGCAAAAATAGATATGTAGATTGTTATTTTGATTTTAAATTTATTGCAATTTAAATGGGCAATTGCCTATATTTAATCTGTTATTGTAAAAGAAAAATGACATAGCTTATTATTAGAATATTAAACAAATTTATTAACATAATATATATATATATATATATACTGTTAAAAAAATAAATACGTTTTTTTCTTTATAATTTCATAATATATGTATATATTGTTAAAATCTGGACATTTATTATGAGCATAAATATGAAAACGATTTTCCATTAAAATCGGCTATTTATTAGGGTCATTAATATGAAAGATATTAAGACAACATGGCTTCATTTATTAGTTTGAAATTAAGACAACATCCCTTAAATTGCTAATCCAAGATCCGAATAGACTAAAACCCGGGTCAAACCCGGATCCAAAAGAATTAAAGCAAAAAAGTACTATAAAAATGTATATGTAGATTGTTTTATAGATATATGGTAAGTATTATTTGAAAGAAGATACATTAAACGCACTTCCATTAATTAGAGTTTGTGCAGCAAGTAACACCAGTACAGAGATAATGTCTACAAATAAATGTAAGTAACATTTATATTCTTATAAGAAAGAGAAACCCAAAAAGAAAGAGAAAAATAAAAAAGACTGACTACAACAAATAAAGAAAAATTCATCATTATGCGATCGCCGACCAATAATGATTACGAGAATAGTAAGAAATCACCTAATACTTTAAAAGGAAAAATATATAGAAGAAACAAAAACGATGGGAAGTGTCTTAAGGAGGAGGAAACGTTGATCTGTAACAATATATAGCTGAGGAGTTTCAGCGAAGCGGTTACTGCATTTTGCAGTGATCTCTGGTTCGTCTCTTCGTTACGCGTACGTGGATTCTCAGGATGTCACGGGCTATGTTATTTTTTCAAACCTTCAAAATGTTATTTGATTTATATTTTAAAGATCTTTATCCAAATTATCCACTACGCAGCCATTTCACCACAACGACCGACCATTTACGTCAATTTTAAGTGATTCATTTACTAAGCTAACGTTAGTTTAAAGTATGTAATTTACTAAGATAAGATTAAGTTTTCAAAAATAGTTTAGAAAATAAGGTTTTTGGCGACCAGAGTAAAATTGATTTGAAACCTTACATTTTATAAAATGACGGAGGTAAAAGATCGTAAAATATTTATTTTGATCTATTATTTTTTTTTAATACTAAGAAGTTTTGGATCTAGGCTCGTACATCCTTTCCGGTGAAAAACCAATGTATTTTATATGTTCTCTTTCCAAGTGCTATTTGAACCGACGACTTATATGTTTTGTCTCGGAATCTTTACTAATTGAACTATCGACCCTTAATAAATTTTGATCCATTTTTCAAAGAAACCATATTATCGTTTTCTTAATTATCATGTTATCAATTGTTGTCTAGTGCAAATTAAAGATTGTTTGTATTATCCTCTATCGTCATTGTCTATACAAAAATACGTAAAAATAATTGACTATCACATCGTACAGTGAAAAGATATTCATCGTCATAAAACAAATATGGAAAAACTCAAACGTAGTATTTGTTTAATTAATGGAAGTTTTAATATTTTCTACAAGAAAGAAAAAAGGAGTTTAACTTCGCTAGATTTTTTCTTGCTGACAAGAGAACTCAACCATACAACATTTTCAGTGGATCCCATTTATCTCAAAGAAATAAAAATGATGAACTAAACGACCCGCGAACCAACGATCACCACTCTCGGTGGGCCGGTTTCTTAACCGATCCTGTGCTCGCCGGATCCGTGGTTTCGCGTATTGCCCTGGTCGGGAGCTTTATCTCGGTCTTGTCGTGCGCGTTGCTTCCGGATAACACAAAACCCCGGCACGAAAAGTGTCAAGAAAAAAAACATTCAAAAAAAAAAAAAAAAATGATGAACTAAAGTCTTCGTTTTCTGTGGTCACTAAAGTGTAGTGTGGGGTTAGCCAAAGGGCAAGTAAAATAAAAACATTAATACAGTCCAAATACACAAATACCAATGAATTTACACATTATTTTTTCCTCTCTTGTTCCGTACAGGTTTTCGTATCAACACAAAATATAAATCTATTTTGAAAATAATTAATCGTAGAACAACAAAGGATAGCAAACGATAACCACATAAAGAGTGCTGCACCGATCGAACACTTTGTGTGTATAAATATCTATTTCTAAATATTAAAACAAAGAGTAAAATCAATTGTTGATAAGAAAACAAGTAAAGTGATAAGTCCTGAATTATAGTGTTATATATAGATAGTTTTCAAGTTTGTGTTTATTGGACCAAAGAACCGTCGGCAAATTTTTGTATTGCTATAAAAAAATGCAACAAATTTTTTTGATATACGGTATTCCTTGGCGGCAAAACTGTGATTATTATTTATATAGTTGTCAGAAATATAAATTTTAGAAGATATCAAAAAATATATAAGTAAATTTTAGAAAATAAAAAAAGAAAGGCCAGGAATGAAGTGTCTTTTCCACCTCAACTCTAGCTATATAAACCCCTCCATAC